TGGTCATGAGGGTGGAAGAACACTCGTACCCAGCCAGGTGGCGCTCCAGCCTTGAGGTGCCACTGGGCCTGTGGCCACCAGCTATGTATAAAGGAGAACCTCAGGAGCCAGGCCTCCCATCCTTCATGCTGAACATCCCCTCCCAGCTCCCAGTCTACCCAGCCTCCAGGGCCTGTCCCCTCACCGCCATGCTCACTGCTGTCTCTCCTTCGAGTTCGTTCTCGTCTCAGTGATACAACAGACTCAGTTTCTGTCTCAGGCTCTAGATTTTCATGGCTGCTGGAGAGTTTGGGGCTACATGGTTAGAGACAGTTTCCAACCAGTGTCAACAGAACAGCACCAAATCCTCAGTCTCCCCTCTCCAAGGGCTTGGACTGGATTCCCTCTTTACCCCCCTCCCCTAGATTCAAGAGTGTAAAGGACTCACTGGAAGGATGGAGGTCTTGAGTCCCCAATACCACTGGTTCTTTCTGGAGGCAAAGGCGGTAATGGTGGAGGTGGAGGAACCAGTTCTGTCCGAGACTCATGGGCTGGGGGAGCCATCTCAGGCTGGGGGTTATCTGATGACACTAGCTAAAAGAGTGCAAGAAAACATGGCTCCATTGGGTAGTGGTTTAAGTGGAAAGACTTAGGGAAAGGGGCAGAAAGAGAACAGGATCTCAGAGACCCGGGAGAACAGCCCAGAAAAACCAGCCAGTATGGCTAAGGAATGGCCTCTGCTTCTTCATGTAGAAGTGGGAACCCAGGGCCACCAATGACTGGGCAAGGCGGGGAGTTGCAGAAAGAGACTGAGGTTGGAAGCAGCTTGGTAATGACTCTCCTTACCCAGGAGACAACCCTTCCATTGAAGCAAGGTAGGCGGGCATTGTCATCTGAAATCTCTTCCTTCACCACCCTGTGGAGAGAGTAGAGGACTCAGGAAGATGTCAGGTGTGATGGTGCACACCTTCAGTTCTAACACTTGGGAGGCAGAGGCAGGAGGAGCTCAGTGAACTTGAAGCCAGCCAGTGTTACATAGAGACCCTGTCTGCCTACCCCCCCCCAAAGATGAAGAAGCACTCAGGAGGCAGAGGCAGGTAGATCTCTGTGAGTTCTAGACTATTCCAGTCTACAGAGCGAGTTCCGGGACAACTAGGGCTACACAGAGAAAGAAACCCTGTCTTGAAAAAACAAGAGATAGAGATAAAGGGGGGGGGAGATAGATTAGTACCCCCACCCCAAATCTCATTCAAAGCCTCTCCCAAGCTGCATCCAACCCAAGCATGTTGACTCTCTGCTGCCCTCACTAGTACTCTTCATGTTTTTTAATGTTTATATGTACATGTTCCTGTATACAACTGTCACACATATGAACATGTGAGGGTGCTTGTAGAGGACAGAAAAGGGCATTAGATCCTACAGGAACTGTAGTTACTGGTAGTAATGAGCTACCATTTTGATGCTGGGAACTGAACTCTTTCAGAGGACCAAGCACTCATCCTCTAAGCCATCCCTCCAGACCCAATCTTCTACCTTTTTTTTCGGGGGGGGGGGGGTGTCTCATTGTATCCCTGGATGGCCTGGAATTCACTATGTATACTAGATTGACCTCACAGAGATCTGTCTGCCTCTGCCTCCTAGGACTAAAGGTATGTCACCATGCCCAGCATGCATCACTGTGGTGCCTGGCCACTCGGCTTTTACAGTGAAACTATTGGCTTTCACTCAGGTTCTTGCCTTATTTTACTACCCACCCCCAGTTCATCCTTAGAAATATAATGCTGCTCTAAAGAGTGCTTCCCATCTGATCCAAACCTCCAAGTACCTCTCCAAAGGCCCTTAGGGACAGTTCTCCAATTGCTCCAAATATCTAACTCAGAGCCTTGCTAACCTTATCTCTGTTCTACACATCTGTCCCATTAAAGGCCCTGGTACTCGTGTACTCCTCTGCTGTTCCACAGCCTTTCAGTTCTAATTCACACCCAGAGACATCCAAATGTGTGGCCTTTGCTAGGTGAAAACACCCTTCAATGTGACAGTAACACTCCACACCAGGAAAGCGCCCACTGAGAGGGGATGAGAGGCTTCCCGTTTCCTGGCTGCCTCATCTCACTAAGCAATCTGCTCAGCCTGAAACATCCTGAAGCCCAGCCTTGGTGGCCAGCCTCCCACAGGCTCCCGCCTCGGATTAAACTTGTTCCTTCTCAATACCCACAAGAAATCATTAGCACCTACTCTGTTCAACATGTGTCCTGGGTGTGCAGCACCAGCCTTGATACTTAGTAAGCATTAGCAAATACATGGTGACAAAATATGAGCCATGAGGCTTACTTTCACATACACAACACCCTCACCTTCAAATTAGAACTTCTTGTCTGGGGGCTGGCTTAGTGAGAGTTGGCTTGTGGTTAAGAGCATTTATCGCTCTTCCAAAAGGCCCCAGGTTTAGTTTCCAGCACCCACATAGTGGCTCACAACCATCTGTAACTCCAGTTCTGGGCTCTGTCTCTTCTAATGTTCACAGGCACCAGGCATGCACATGATATACATACATGCAGACAAAACACTCATATACATAAAAATAATGAAAAAATTAAAATAAAACCTCTTGATTGATTAACACTAGCCTAATATGCTCTGGGGGCCTTGGGTATATGCCACATTTTGAAGGTATATTCCTCATATATTAGCTGCCAAGACAACATAGCCCAGTCACCAGGGGTCTGCTCAGTGTATACAACTCTTCCCAACATAACCCAACCTCATCAAACCCAGCGTGGCCCAGTCTCCTCCAAAGCAGGCAATTTTGTATCACTATAATCTAGTCTATGAACTAGTTAGCCTCAATACTAAATGAAAATTACCAGCCACCAAGATTTACCATGTGCTTGCACCTAAATTAAGTATTTTACACTATGATTATCATCATGCCACAGATGAAGAAATCAAAGCACAAAAGTTAAATAGATTGCCTAAAATTATAATGCAAAAAGAAGAACCAAGATTCAAATCCAAGACAACCCCCTAGATAGTATCACTCTGCCCATGTCGAAAAATCTTCAGTGAGAGTCCAGTTTGTTCAGTTCTAGCTAATGGGGAATGTGCTCCAACCACAGGTAAGGAGCCTTGCTCCAACCCAGGTGGTAGATAACCTTTTTCTCCCCAGTACCCTGCTATCCTTGCTTATGCCAACTCAGAACATCAGAATCCAATGCACTCTATCTTCAGACCTTGAGCCTGAGGACACACAAGACTCGGTCTCAATAGCTACAAAACAAAAGGCTGCCTTACTCAAGAGTTCTACTCCAGCCCAGGATCACCCAGAATGTCCCAAATTACCCCAGAACAACCCCCATCTAATCTAGCAAAGCCCCAGTGCCTCCACACAAGCAGCTGTCTGCACCAGTACTGATTGCAATACCCCAATACAATATGCACGGACTCCACCAGCCTATTCCTATCTTGTAACACAGTAAACCCAGGTCTGGGCCAGGTATAGTGTCACACACCTCTAGCCTCAGCATGAAGGATGCAGACATAGAGGCAGGGCTGCTACAAATTCAAGGTGAGTCTGTTCTACATTGTGAGCTCTAGGTAGCTTTAGTTACAGGATGAAATCCTGGCTCAGCAGTTAAGAGCACTGGCTGCTCTTCCAAAGGACTGGAGTGCAATTCCCAGCACCTAAATAGAGGATAACATATACATAACTCCAGTTCCAAGCGATCCCAAGCCATCTTCTGGTTTCTGAGGCATTGCATGCTTGTAGTGCACAAATATGCACGCATGCAAAACACCCATACACATAAAATATCTTTAAAATAAACAAACAAACCTCCAATTTCCCCCGTAGGGGGAGGGGAATCTACTCCTAAGAGAAAATAAAAAGAACCCAGTAGAGTTCAGAAGGTTGCAAACTTTGCCAGAAAAAAATCTATTCAAAACAGTCCAACCTATCCCCGACAGACCTCTCTGCATTATTTCAGATCTCAAAATAATACTATGGGACCTAATTAATAAGCCAGGATAGCCTAAATTGTCTAAGTATAGCTCAATCTACATAATGACACTGCATGCCCAGCATATTGGCTCACACCTGTTAACTCCAGCTCTCAAGGCTGAAAGCAGGAACTCCAAGAGTTCGGAGCCAGCCTAGGATACAAAGAGTAAGGCCTGTCTCAAAACAAAAGACCAAATCAAAACCAGCAAACAAACAAACAAACAAAATAACCCTACAGAATATTCCTATACAATCCTTGTGAAGACGTCTGAGAACATACCAGACAACCAAAAGATAGTTGAATCTAATCTCAGCACAGCCTAAAATATCCTCAAGCATCGCCTCTTAGCCTTGTGGCTAAAATCAAGTAGAGAGAATGGCCAAACAAACCAGTGTGCCCCATTATTCCAACCTAATTTTCTTGCCTCTGGTTTACTGAAGTCCAGCCCGTTCTTCCCAAGCTCTGTGTGTCCAACCTTGTCCGTCTTGGGATGGGCGATCTACTCTAGCATAGTACAATATGCTATGTTCTACAACAGGCCAGAAAAATTCCAAGGCAGTCCAGTCCCCCTCAAAATCGCCCAATCCATTCCAGCACATCCATCGTCCTTCCCAGTCTAGGCCTCACGCTTACCCAAAATCCTGATCCATAGACTTGAAAAAGTACTTAGCGCCCGCGGGCCGCTGCAAAACGCTCTTGAAATCGCCGAGGGTGATGCGCTCCGCCGGGACAGGAATCTTCACCAGGTAGGGAGTCTCTTCCTCATCCAGATGGTAAATCACCTTCGTCTCGCCTACACCACCGCCCCCCGCGCCGCCGCCCCCCAAGGCCTCCCCCCCGCCCCCCCCGGCGCACCCCCCCCCCCCACCAGGGCCAGGCCCCCCCGCCGCGCCTGCGCACACCCGCAAATTGACGTGCTAGCGCCGACAGGGCAGGGCCAGTGCGGGAGACGCGCCCAAGGAGGACGGCGTGGAGCAGCAGGGTGATAGCTTAGAGCCGTGGAGCGAGACCCAGAACCCTGGACCCCACAGCCGAGGTCCAACACCACCACCTACGTCGCGAACAGTATCGAGGTCCCCGCCCACCTCTCCCCATGCCACGTGACACAAGCCCGCCCACTTTGCGCAGCCGACTGCCCTCACGTGATCCGCTCGTGTCACGTGACTGCGAAGCTCCGCCTAGACACTCACGTGATCGCTGCCTTGAGCAACGGTCTTCAGCCCTAGAAGACTCCGCCCCCAAACGTGTACCCCGCCCCACACCAAGTACTATGACTTGCCCCGTTGACTCTTAGAATGCTGGCAACTGGCTCCCACTGTTTTACCCATCCCAGGCCCAGAGCTCAAAGCACCTCAGGTGCAACTATGGGGGTGTGGGAGGGTACTGGTAAATCGAGAACTGCAAACCAACTTGGACCTCTAGGACGACTTCTGGTTTGAGAACGCTGAAAACTAGACCTTTCAAGATTTGACTTTTGAGTGAGAGAGGGTGATGGGGGATTCAGTGTCTCATGTAGTGGAAGCCAGCCTTAGCCCCTAAATTGTCTCCACCTCCCAAATTGTGGGATTATATCTCTGGATCATAAGAGTCGGTTTCAGCCCTAATTACATCGAGACATCTGCCAGGTCCCCTCCCCAAATAGGACAACGAGGATTGTAAAACACAAGAGCCCACTCTGCTTTATTTACAACACGCTGGCTGTCTGTACAAGCAGCCAGCCAATATTATTAAAAATGAGGCTAGTGATAATTGACACCTTTTTGCTTTTCTCCCCCACTCCACCAGCTATGGTACTCCGCCTTTGAGCAACCACTTTGCTCAAACATGGGAGCCCAAAATTAAAAACAACCGGTGTAGAAGAAAGCAAATGGGAGTGAGAGAGAAGAAAACATGAGGGAGTGCTGTATTTACACTACAATTTTATAGACAACTATCCCATTACATCCCAGTTTGAGCCCTGGCCCTGAAAGTCAAAGGGTGGTAGGTTGACTGGACAGAGACTTGTCTACAGATCCAGCCTCCCCTGACCCAGATGTAATGGGTCTAATTCAAGTCCATGGAGCAGGAAGGACAGCGTACAAGACACTCAATTCCAAACAAGTCTCCCTCGGGAATTCCTGCTTTGAAGAGGCTGAAGACTCTGAGCCTCAGTTCCCAAGTAAAGTCACAAGTTCCAGCCTCAAGAGTGATGTCAAGGTTCTCCCGATTTGGGGAGACCCCCTAACCGCCGGGCCTCTGGCCGAAGTTCCTTGCATTTCTGGCAATAAAAGAAGTCAGGAACATTGGTCTTCTTTATCTTAGCACAGGAGAGGTGGATCCACGTCCCACACAGGCTGCACTCGATCATGGGCCGCCCAGCAAAGGGCTTTCTGCAGTAACACGTGATCAGATCCCATGAGTCATCACCTGGAAAGACAAAGTTTGTTTAGTGTTTAAGGGTTGGCTCACAATATCTCCCAAACCCATCATCCCAGTTCCCCATCCTGGGCAGCCCTAAACTTCTTACCTGATTCCACCATGATGTCCTCATCCATGACCCGCATCTCGCCTTCACTGGAGCTGGCATCTCCATCTTGGCTGGTTTCTGTGCTACCCACCTCCTTGCCTTCACTGTCAGTAGGGGGAACACCTTCAGGGTGGACTGTAACGGGGGGCCTGGGGGCTTCAGGGGGTGTTGGGAGCACAGAAACTGGGACTTCACCCCCCACCACTGCTGTCATTTCTTCTTCATCCTCCTCCTCCTCCTCTTCCTCCTCCTCTTCAGAGTCTGTATCACTGGGAGGTGCCCTAGGAGGGCCAGGAGGTGGGAGTCTATCCCCACGATCTGCCTTTTTCAACTTCCGCTTCTTGCTCTTCTTGATTCGAGACCGTTTTTCCCCATCCCCAGGGGCCGGTCGAGGCCTCCGAAGCACCCCAAAGCCAGTCCCACCTCCTGGTCCCAACTTTCTGTTCTTTCGGTCCTTCTTTCGAGGCTGGGAAAGGTCCCCCTGGGAAAGTGGCACTGGGGTGAGAGCAGCAGGGGACCGGGAGGTATGCGTCAGGGATGTGGGAGACAGTGGAGACGCCACTTTGGGCCCATCCAGGTCAAACAGAGAGTCCTTGAGCTTCATCTTCTCAAGCAGAGTGGCACTGTCAGGGGCCTGTAGGCGAGAAAAAGTGGACCTTGGGGGTCCTGGCTGGGTAGGACCTGCTTGAGCTGCCCTTCTCTTTGATGACTTTGCTTTCTTAACAAAAGTCTGGATAGTTCGAAGGTCCGAGGGGGCTGAGTCCCAGCCATCACTGTCTGCTGCACTCTCACCCCGCAATGGCGAGCTAGAGCCAGAAGCTGGCCAATCACTTTCCTTAAAAGGAGGAAGAGACTAGGATCAGCAGGAGTCTGGTGACAGCTCAGCCTCGCCACATATCCAGCACAAAACCAGGAACCAGACTTAGCCCTACCCCAAATCTGACATGCCCTCTAAACATACCTTCACCCCAGTCATCATCAGCACCTCCCCGGTGCTCCGCCTTTAACTGCTTCTGTATCTCACTTGTTAGTATACTTACCTGGGAACTTTCCATGAACAGCAACTCAAGACCACTAAGAAATCTTGACCAATACTCCAAACTGTTGTTCCTGCTGTTTAAGCCGGCTAATGCCATTATTCCATTCCTCCACACCAGCTTTCCCACCATAGCCCTAAAATCTTATAATTTTCTTAGTCTTACACATTATAGTAGGATCTCCCTATAAAAGTAATTCACTCTGACTCAAGTCAGCTACTTTTCTGTTCCCTACCTCTTTGCTAGGAGGGATGTAACCTGCATAAGCCAAGACAAAACTGCAGAATTTGTTGAAATCCTCAATTGTTCTCCGCCGTTTCTCCGGTGGCTAAAAAGAAAGGAAACGTGGATCAAATGGAAGCCAGGCACGAATGTTAAAGGGACATTCCCAAAAACACAGCTCCCAAATTGTCTAGCAGTGTACTAGCCAAAGGTATGGGACAGCTCACCTGAGTCTCTGGCTTGAGAGTCGGAGGTGGATCTGTGAAATCAATAAAAGCTGAGTCAAGGCACTAGGAAAGAGTCTGTAAAATCCTACATCTAAACCTTGGAGGTCTCAACCTAATCCCATCTACTGTTAGGTCGCCTGA